GCGGGCCGCGGTTTGGATAAGGTCTATGATTGCGTTTGCGAGCGTATCGAGATCCTCCGTTGCCGACGCCGCTGCGGGAATGGTCGCTAGTCCAGCTTCGACGAGTTCTGCATACCGTTTAAGCTCTTCGTCGCTTGCAAGCAGAATTTTTCCTTGTGGTACGGTGGCTGGCGTTAGGGCCGGGAGAGAGATGCTAAGGGTGAAGTGGTCAGAGCTTGTGGCGAGATGATCTTCCACGGTCGCTTCAGCAAGAGCGATATTCGAGAAGCCTAGGTCGATTGCGTTTCCATGGACGTTGGTGTGTGTATTGATTGGATTGAGGAGTGAAAGGTCGTTTTCCGACGCCCAAGTAGCTATGCTGCTACCGTGACCGCGGGAGGGTCCGACCTGCCAGGAGTGGTGCCGAGCGTTGAAGTCTCCCGCTATAATGCACTGCCTTGCTATCGGCCACGCAAACAGAATATCAAGAGCGGCATCGAAAGAAGGCTCCCGATAGATGTTAACCACTGTTACGCCGTTGACCATGAGCCAAAGGATGTCTCGGGTCGCGGCCGGGCGTTGTTGATCAGCTAAGAGTCTTGCGCCTCGTCGTATATAAGTCATGACGCGCGGTCGTGTGTCGTTGTCCTCCCAGTCGTTGACCGGCGTGTAGGTATCATAGGCGGGGTGGGTTTTTGTGAGGCAGCGTGAACCCCGAACCTGGGTCCAAGGCTCTTGCAAGAGTACGACGCCATATCGTTCGGCATCTCTGCAATGGGTTCAATTGGATCCGCAGATGGCTCGGTGCTCTCCACCGTGCAACTTTATTATTATTATTATTTTTTTCCGTCCAGCGACCTTTAGGTCGCTCAGGTCCCCGAGACGGGGCACAGGACGTGCTGAGCTGCTGGAAGTCTAGTATCGCGGAGTAGGCCCACAATACGCGAAACGAAACGAGAACCAATCCGCGTCTTCTGCCCCTTCCACAGAACGTAAACAATCCACCATTCAGCATTTCATCGGCTGGGGGCAGATCGTTCCAAAGAACGAGCTTGCCTTCGCCACCTTGACGAACTGGTCGAAGTCTCTGCCTATTGCTCGGTTGACCGCCGCGCTCGGTGAGGGTGCCAGCCTCATCCGATGTCGCGGCGCGATCTTCCGGCAATAGAAGAGATGTTTTGGTTCTTTTCGTCGACCACATGAGCACGTCAGTCGCGCATCGTCGTGGTTCAACCTTTCGTGGTAATCAGCGAAGTCCCCGTGGTGGGTTCTTGCTGCGAGCAGATGGTGGAGCAGAGGTCGTGGAATGGTAAGTTCTGGCGGGCAGCCAGTCGTGGCATCGAGGTCGAGGACCCTGTACTGTTGGGGTGCAGAAACTTCCCACCAGGCTTTGAATGCGTCTTTTGGTCGCTGCCTAGCGACCTTGCGCAGATATGCCCCACCATGGGGAAACTGACGAATAGGAAACGCTTTGCGAGGCCACTATAAGCCACAACCGGGCCGATCCGCGGCCTGTGTTACAATGTGCAGCTGAGCCTGTCCCCAGGAAACAGGGACCCTAAGGTCGAAAAGAGTAGCATTCTCGACACACCTGCGCCGCATTCATGGGCGGCAAAGTGCGGACAGACGACAGGTCAATACTGGCGACGTGCAACGGCGGGGTTGTCCCTGGAGCAGCGGGTCCAGTGCGGCCAGAAGAGTACAAGAGCCCCTGGGACTGACCGACCAATCCATCAAAAGGCTACAACCGTCCCCAATGAATGCGATGCCTCGCGCGGCCAAGACACGCCAGTTTGCGACCAGTGTCTCCTTGTCCAGTTGGGGATGCTTTCCAGCAAACAATGACACTGAAAGGCAAGAAAGCAGCCTTTTCTCTAGACTGGGTTCGCGGGGGTTTCATGATCATATTTTTGACATTCCTTGAGGTGATGCGTCGGCGATTTGACAGCCTTCCGTAAAGCCCTTGCACGTCGAAAACTGATTACCTTCAATCGGGGGTGCGGGAATAGCAGTCCCGCGGCGGCAAGAAGTGGATAATAGCTGCTGTGACTTATCCAAAACCCTAAACTCACGCAGCCAGAAGCGCAATGCTCGGATGTGTTCTTTTGAAGCTCAAGCTCCATCGTCCAGTTGGTGGCAGCGGCGACTCTCCTCGGGGTACTGTAGGCGCCTCTTGAGTAGTTTGTCCACTCCCGATGTGCAGATCGCTTGATGTCGGGTGAGTGCGCAGTCCGGAAGGGAGCCCGAGAATAGAGTAGGCCTGAAATCTGCTAAGTCCCTGCACATAGAAATGGGCACCCCCCTGTTTTGGGCACCCCAAAAAATCACGACCATTTTCAACACCATTAATTCAATCCCTTCTCACTGCCCACCACCGTGCACTACGATACAATCGTCACCTATTTCTGAAACCTCAGCTTCGGTTTCATCAGATTCTTCATTCTCAGCTGCGTTCACCTCCTCCTGCGCCCGTCGTATTGCCTCAATATTGGCGAACCTCGAATTCGGGCTCGTGACCACCCTCTTCCTTTTTCGGCTTGACGGCCGCCAATTGTGTTTCCAGTGCCTGAATCTGCAATTGAGCTTTTGCTAAAGGCCATCCTTCTCGTCAAACCCTTTGTGATCTTCCTGAACAGCAATCTCTTCGTGGGCACGTCGTCGTCTAGCTGGTTGAATTGAACTACCTGAACCTTCAGATCTTGCGAGCGCCTCGGGGTCGACCACGCAATCTGGGATGTGTCTGATTGCCAGTCACTGGTGGGTAAGTGGCTATTGAATGCATTGGCCACATTTTTCGCGTTCTTTTGCGTCTGTTGCTGTTCTCCAGCAGAAGAGGGCTCAAAAGTGGCTTCGCCATCGACACCGGCCACAAACCCGTCGCTTTCCAGCCACCCTTGATGTTTGACACAGTGAGCGCTTGCTCGCGTGCTTTCTGGTAGCAGGAAAGAAAGTTTTGCTTGCCGACTGGGCTTGAATCGGTCAGGAGGCTGAAAATCCGACCTGTTTGCGGTAGTAGTGCTTAAGAGCGGAAGACAGACAAATCGAGCGGTTGCAGCACATGAGAGGTATGGGAGGTAAGAAAAGAAGGTGAATCTGATGCTGGTAGCATAGATACATGAAGTCAACCGTCTCGTGACTTCCGTGGCCGTCCAATACTAGCAGTCTTCGCTCCGAAGGGTCGGGTGGCTGGGTTCTTGGAATGAACCCCTTTCCGAGCCACTCCACCGCAGTTTGGTCCGAAGTCCAGCCGTTCTTTGTCGCAGTGAATTGCCAGTCACTAAAAGTACTGAGATCTTCTGGGAACCACTGTTGCTGGACCGATTTGCCCTTGAAAATGACGGGTGGAGGGAGGAAGGTGCCGGCAGCGGACACGCACTCGATGAACGACGTCCAGACCCGAGAACCAGGCGTCTTCTTTTGTACAGATCGTTTTCAGCACTGCCAACGACCAGGCCATTCTCCCCAAGTCCTTCCATGATGCCTGCTTCATCCATGTTGTACCTGTTCTCCGGCTTAATAGCCAGAATCTCGGGAAGGAAGAAATTGTTGAACCAAGGCCGAATTACCTCGGTAGAAGCGCCGTTGACACGCGCAGAGTCTCTGTGATGGCACTTCTGGGTCCGAACTGCAGGATTTCGTCTTAAAAATGCTTGCATCCAGTGTTTTCCGAGCGGTGTGTGGTCTCCTTTGACGGCGAGCATGCGCTGCGCGAACTGCCTGATCTGCGAGTGAGTGGGAGGAAGGCCCAAGGCGTCCTGAATGAGAATCCATTCGGTAAGTTGCTTTCCTGTGTCTGAGAAAGCCTCTGAAGAGCAGAAAATGCATCCTTTCTGCATTCGTGACCATGCATGCGATTGTAAAGAGTTGCCCTCGGGACGCCCCAATCGCGAGCAGCCTTCTTGGCGGATCCGCCATTGGCGATTGCCTCAAGGGCGCTGTGAATGTCAGACTCTGTATATTTCATCAGTAGTGGCTTGAAGACACATGCGTCAATTTTTTAGCAGATTGGATGCGTTTCCGCGGTGAAATTTGCTGTTGAAGTTGACGCAGCCGTTTAGGTTGGGCACCCATCTTGGGTGCCCAAAACAGGGGGGTGCCCATTTCTATGTGCAGGGACTTATCCACCTACAGGGTTCCCTCCCTGGGAGGGCCTAAGAGGCCAATGGCCTCCTAGGCAGACAACAGCCAGAAGTGAGAATGCCCTATTTGCTCCTTCCACCTTAAGTTCCGACTTCAGGCTCTGGAGCCATGAAGACCCGCATTCTACCCATGGTCGGGCGACACATCGTTTCAGCTTCGAAAACAAGGAGCTGTGGAGACCCGTTGGATACCCTGCCATGCCAATATTCCAGGTAACGAGGAGGCAGATGCTCTTAGGGGTGATAGACGAAGGTGAATTTTTTGAAGATTTTGAATGAAGGATGAATCAAATGAATTGAATTTTTTGGATCTTGATTCAAAATCTTCAAGCTCCAATTTTCGCGATTCAAGTTGGGTTTGGGCCAATTCAGGCCATTCATGAATAGTTTGAAGGAATCCCCTAAACGAAGTGAATTTGGTGTGTACCTAAGCGATTGCAAAGATACCTCGAAAACGCCAATAAGTAGTATATGGTTTTATAGCCTTCTGGGAAGTCTCTCGATAATCTCGAATATTACAAAAATTAACTTACATAAATACTGATCCGCCCGTCCTAGGCAAATGGACCGAAAATAAGCACTTTCAAAAGCTCTGCCGAATCCTCAAAATATATCGGTCCAACGCGTTCGAATCCGCGATTGTACACAGTTACACACTTGTAGAGCCTCAATCCTCCGAAGCCTCCATTGTATCTGGACAGGGGGTTGATATCGCAGACTTATCGGCTTGGGAGGCAGGAGGTTTGGGGGGTAGGAGGTTCGGCGGGAGCCTCGGTAGTAGCCTCGGTGGGAACTTCCGCCGGAGCAGGGGGTTGAGGAGGAGGATTCTCGCCTGAACGCAGATTAGCATATACACAAACAATGAGGGTATATTCACACCATCTACCAGCTTGCCCGGAAATTGGAATGTGGTCTGGTCTTCAAATAATAGAGCGTGCCGTTGTTGGCGGCGTTGTCTCCCGTAATGGCGAGAAGCTTTGGCTTGAGCCTGAGCTCCTCAAGTGTCTTCTCAACTATCTCGTGTTTGCCAGTGTGAGATTTTTTGAGCTCGATAAACTCAATAACCTCCTCTCTCTCCTCAAACTCCGGCGTAATCCAGTGCGTAATAATGGCGAAAATAGGCACCCGATTCGGTGCTGTCCAGATATCAAGGGTGAGCGAGATGGTAGCACAATTGTACTGAAGCTCGATCTTCAGCTTCTCTCTGCGTTCCACAAAGTCTGTGTAGATGTGATTGCGTAAGGTTATACGGCTCCTGTACACACAGGTTGTATTGTGAGCCAAGAACATCTCTTGGAAAGCAGGAGTCTCAAGTTCTCAACAACAGAGAAGGGTTGTCGGTGTTTTACAAACCACTGGCGGATAGACTCCTTTGCCGTGAGCCTTGCTCTTTGCCTGGGTCGACCGCTCCATGCATCTACCTCTGTATAATCTCCTCCACCAATGGCGCGGCCGTATCCATTGATTCGACCGTGGTGAGACTCCTTCGTAATACTGTGGGATTTTAAATGGTCTCCCATGCCAGAGGTAACCCCTCGGCGGTTCGATTCAAGGACCTGGAATATCTTCCGAAGAGTAGAAGGATTTTGAAGGCACTCTATACAAGTCCACCGGAACTCTTGGAATATTTTCGGTCCATCCTTGTACTCGAGTAAAAGCTTCTGTCTATGGCTTCCTCTGCATGTACCAATAAACGTGGCTATTCTTGTCTCTCTTCTTGCGAACATGCTTCTGTTTGTTGTCGGCCCACTTCTTGATAAGTCTGGCTTTCTCTGCGAGCGTCATGTGACTACCGGTACTGTTCAATGGCGGCTCTGATGTATCCGCGTCAGGCATGTCATCATCTGACTCACAGTCAGGATGGCCCGGGGGCGCGCAGACAATCGTATCTTTGCCAGTCGGAGGAGGACGAAGGAGCCGGAGTTGTGCTAGGATCAGGGCGCGCGCGCGGGATTCTGAGGTTGAATTGAGGGCGTTCAATGCGGGCATAACTCTGCGTTGGCAATTTACGCCGGGTCCTAGGAGCAAAGAAATTCGCTGCGGCAGCTGTTTTCGATTCAGCAGGGGCCATACTATGTATCATGTTATAATTAGCTATCGGTTGGACAGTAATGAAGTTTTACCTGGTCTAGGCTAAAAGGCTCGAGAATGGACGTGAGACAGGTAGTCGGGACGACACCAAATAACCCACAATAAAGTATAACGGAGTCGAGGTTGAACGGGTGGGATAGGTCGTCGGGCAGGACGTTGATTCGGGGGCCGACCCGAAGCCGCTGTCGGAAACATCGAAGCAGGAATTAGGCGAGATCGTCGTAAAATAATGTCGTGGCAGTTGTCGCGAAGACCGTTGCCCAATGCAGGCAAAAAAATGTGGGATGGGCTGACGACCGTGTCTTTCCGACAGTAGAATTAACAGGTGGTCAATTGAGCGCGAATAACGCGTCTAAACGCGGCTAGTTGGCACAACATATCCTTATCATGCAGATGTTTCGGTACTTTCTGATCGGGCTAGTTTGTGTGACAAGCAATTAGCAGTCATATTGGGCTCGATGAGTAGATAAGTCCCTAACAGTCTCCAAATCGCGAGATGACGCAATTCGTGTCACGTCCAATTGTTCGCGCAGTATTGAGACGTTGAGGGATCTGAACGCGTTTTTCTAATCAGTTTGCCGGAGGCTGTTTAACGGTATAAGTCTTGTATTATATTTCAAAAATTTGGGCTGCCGAGCTTAATCTGTGCTTGAGATGTAGTTTTGCAAGTAGCAAATGACCGATCTATTTATTGCCTTCAGGATGATGTGGCATTTCTTGAGCAAATGTTAAGCACAGATATCGAGAGTTATATCACCCGAACCAGAAAATCCAGAACATTCGAGTGATACTACATTTAAATGGTGTGCATTATAAAATGGCACTGTTCATAAGCTTCATGGTTTAGATACTCCGTATAGGGTGGCAAGACTGCTGAAACGGTGGGCGTATCAGGCACTGTTAGGGTCGTTATACCAACATATATGGACGCCCTAACTACCCCACTTCCAACCCACTGGGATTTTCCCAGTGGAGTGTGACGGCGGAATCCAACTGAAACACGCACAACAGACTTTTAAATACGCAGTGCGTCATCGCATGGGCGGCCGATTTCGAAGTTACCATGTCCGCGCGGGGCGAACCCCTTGCTCCTGTCAGAACGGTGGTTCTGTGGCGTGCCTAATGGGAAAGTGCATTGTGGAATCTATTGGTATTGTGGGAATCATGCTCGTCAATTGTATCTAGATCACACGGTCAGCATGTGGCCTTAGGGTCACGTGTGCGGCTGAGGCTTGCGTGGCTATATCTTCCACGCTGGCCTCTCCTCCTAGATAGAAGACAATCCTCATAGCATAATACGACACACCGGTTGAACGACGTTCCCAGTTTGTCTCATGCTCGAGCCCTGCCAACAGGTATGATGGGGTCAAAGCAGCTTGTTTCTTGATGTGTACGTGTGTGTCTGCTTGTTGGAACGGCGCAGCAGGAAGGGCGGCATGGGTCACCTGCCAGGTCACGTGGGGCATTCAGCCGAGATTTCTGCGGGCCCAAAGGGCACATTCCTAGCCGGAAGGGGGCAACACACACATCGCCTTTACACACACACAGCCGTGCATATAGCTCCATTGACCTCTTCTGTGTGCCCACTATCGTTGCCACCTTCCTCATTCGGACGAGCCGCAGAACCGCTGTTTCTGACACTGCTCAGAAAGAAAGGAGGCCCTTGGTGGGTGGCTTTGGGCATTAGCCCATTCCTCCCTGTATGCCCCCTTGGCTGGCAGCTGCGAAGCGGGTGATCCTTTTTCACCGTATATTTCGACCATATCGCCATTCATTCAAGATTTTGATGAATGAATTGAATAAAGACTCCTGATTTTTGATTCATCGAATTTGAAGACCTTACCCGATTCGGCTTCATTCAATTCAAGGGTCCCGAGGCCGATTCGACTTCAAAATCTTCAAATATCAGCCCTAGATGCTCTGGCAAAGGCAGGCACTCCTCTGCCAGAACCTGCGGACGCTTTTCCAACACTTGCAAACCTGCGCAAGATTGCACGGCAGCGGCCGAAAAAGGCTTTCAAGGTTTGGTGGGAAGCCTCTGCGCCCGAACGATACAAAGATCTAGGCCTCAAGGCTACAACCGGCTGCCCGCCTGAATTGGCGCTTTCTCGGCCCTCGCTCCATCATTTCCTTGCAGCAAGAACCCATCACGGGGATTTTGCTGACTACTACGAAAGGTTCAATCACGACGACGCGCGACTGACCTACTCATGCGGACGACGGAAAGACCCAACGCATGTCTTCTATTGTAGGAAGATTCCGTCACGCCACCGGCTGCGGCTTGCGCCCTCGCCGGCCGCAGCTGTCAATCGGGCGCTAGGCGAAGACTTTGTACGCTTCATCAAGCTTGCGAAGCAACCTCCTTCTTCAGAGGGATTGGCCCACGCAACTAGGCGCTCATTCCCCCTTCCGCCCTGACCTTCTCCTTCCTTTTTGCCCTTCCTCTCGTTTCCTCGGCCTAAGACGGGCGCAGAGATCCTGCGACATGCGTCCGCCCGGGTCACCAGGGCTCCGAAGTGCTAGAAAACAATCGGTTGAACTGAATTAGAAGACAGCCCGCGAGCTGACGGGTAGCAGGCTTGTAACGAGCGCCTCACTAGCTCAGCACGTCCTGTGTTCACCCTACCGCGACAAACGTGGCGGATAGGTGTACCGAGCACGGAAACAAGTGCGCTACTTCCACGACACCGCACTTGGGTGGCGGCGTTCTGTTTACATTGCCTCGAAGCCCTCGCAGTCGTGACCCCAGATCATGACGTTATAGGGCCTACGGTCAATAACGACTCGTTGGAAAAAAGGGCCACCATGCAGCACGGCGAATGTAGCGCTTGCAAAGACACTGCCGTGACTTGTATACCAACATCATCATAGTATTGTGTTATACAGTTTCTGATCTCTCCATCAATGGGCAGTCATTGGCTTCATGCGCGTGTCAACGACGAAATAAAACACAAGGTGAATGTCTCGGCACCTAACCGTCTGCCGCACGGTCGCATTAAGAACATGCACCTCATCCCGCGACTAGCTTAGGTATAGCATGGCAACACTATTATGTCGTCATGGATTCGCGCACAGCGAAACGCATCGGCCAGCCAATACTCCTCCAGACGTAACTGACCACCTGCCCGCCGAAGAGCGACCAATATTTCGAAATCGTTTGCGGGAAGGACGATGATGGTATTCAATCCAGACTCTATTGCCGCCTCAAAATACTTCTCGTCCGTAATGGGTTGCAACGTAACCGAGAAGAGCTTCATCCCCTCGCCCCTTACCAAGGCCCTTGCTGTAGCTGCTACCGCACGAGGGTCCCCTGCGTCGACTCGTGTGACTGTGAAGGAATCTGCTCTCCTTAAAAGTCTTGCACGCCACCTGGACAGCATGTTGCTGCATCTGGGGCTGTGTTTCCTCCCACGCCTCGGCTGAGTCTTCCCTCGCCGTCGACCGTCTTTCTGCCTCGTCTGCCTTCTCCGTGCTAACTGACAAAACAGTGACATCTGAATAATCCGAATCCGAATCCTCTCAACAACAAAACGCTCCGCCCGACGGCTGGCGGAAATGTTACTTTTTCGGTGGTCAAGTTTTGTTGCTCGATCCCAGGCGCCTTGAATTGGTGGCGCTGGCAGTGCTGACTAGACGTATTGAAGAAGGCGAGGTATTGTGATCTTAGTATGAAAAATGACGCTATATCAGGGCCGTCAGTCTGCTCTAGTCGTAATGCAGAAAGTCTTTTTTGAGAAGGCAATGACTATGCGCGCCGAACCACTTTGCTACGGACGCCGCCTTACGGACGCCGTGTGGCTGATCCATTCGTCAGCCACATCATGTCTAAAACGGACGGATACAGGTTCTCTGGTGTTTGTTGCATGGGACTGACGTAGCTCTAACCGGTCAAATAGGTTCTCAGTTACTCAGGCAGCTACAGAACTAGGATTGACTGACAGCTGAGAGAGTCAGAATGAAGCGCTAAATACCCGTTTCGTCCGGTGCCATTATCCATGCTGATGATATCTACACTACTGGTGCCTCCTGGAGCGCTTTCGCTCCCGTGGCCCTATGTAATTACCCTCGCACATTGATACAATCCTCGCAATTTCCCTTGCTGCCGAAACTTGACACGGCTGAGGGCAGTGAAGTGGCAGGCCGCTTACGGAGCTTCGGCGTCTGCGTTTCGGTGGAGATTCTAGCTCCTCATGATCAGAGATGGTCTCCCATGCTGACCGCCTTCTCCGTATGCTAGGCTGCCTTCTGCGGCCAGCTTGCCGCACACC